AAAATTTTCCTGAGAGCGTCTAGTTATTTTTTAAATAAATAATTTTATTTTTTTATCTTATCAGAATTCTTTTCTTTTTTTACAAATTAGTGGTACACTAGTAGATACTTAATTGAATCCTTCCACATCACAAGCACTGATTTATCACCACTTAGAATACCAAATTAATTTTAATTTACCACCACTTCACTCGCCACTGATGTGTCCTTGGTCAAATTTGTTGTTTTGTTTTAATTTCTTTTAAGATAAGTAAAATCTGTTTGTATTTTTTTGCGTCGAACAATTAAAAAAATTACCTGTTCAATGGATGATATCTACGAATTTTGTCTTTGACTGTGATGCATTATACATTAATGGAGATTTAATTTGCATAAATAGGTCAGAGTATTGTACACCTCGACAACCAGTTCGTTGGTTTTCGTTGGGGTTCGGCTGCCTTAAGCTGATGACCTTTTGGAGGATTGCTTGCCTCCTAAACATACAAACATATTATCAATAATTATATAAAGTAATCTTCATGATTTTAAGTAGAAAGTAAAGAAAAAATAAATTTCAATTTCGGTTTCGATATTCGAGAATTGGTGGAATCGTTTATCCGACGTTTCGCCAGAACTGTGGGTGGCATCTTCATGAAACACGAGTTTCAGCATAATAGCAGCGAAAGGTTTTCCGCCCTTATTCCGATTCGTGAAGATGCCAATCACTGCAACTACCAAAACGTCGAATAAAACCAATGCATCTACTATAGAAGGATGAGAACCGACACTAGATCAACACCGTCAAATCGAGCCCTTTTCAGATACTTAACGGCGGTCATGTAAGCGTTAGCCTTTTCAAATCAATAATTTTATTTTTTCCTGCTATCCATACATTTTTTTGAGTTAATATTTTCATTAAAACAAAAATGTTTTCCTTATAAAAACCAAATAACAGTAAAGGAGAAGTATTAACATATACACATTTATTTTTCTTGCTAAATCATGCATAATAAAAACACAATTTATATACTCTCTTAGAAAATTCCTCAAAAATAGATGTAATATTTTGTAACAAAACAAATTAAAAAAAGGCATAATTTCCTCATTAATACTAATTTACACCACAAGCATAATTAAGTTATATCCAAGTTTCATATTACAAAAGATCATGCAAAATAAAATGCTTAGTGTACAGACAATCACATCAGTCATGCACCTTTACTCAACATGAAAATATTTGGAAACCGTTGACTGTAATCAGAAATATTTCATTATAAGCGAAACCATTTTTATAATATCAGTTAGATATGCAAGATTTAGTAAGCAATTATATTGAAGTCACATTATTTTTGTATCATTAAAATGAAAGATTGTTGAACTGTTAAATTAATCATGTAAGTTCCATTAAACATGAAAATCGTCAAACAAAGCAAAACAGATTATAATAGCATGCAGCCGCGAGACATGCCAAAGATATAAAACCATCATTACCTTCTGCAGACCCAAACAAGGAATGAAAAGAGAAAACAATCAATTAGTATATTTTGCAAGATTTGAATATTGGTGCTTTTATAATTAAACATTAGTCAAAGAAATTATATATTATAGATATGAAAATTTTAAGCTATCAATAATTAAATAAATACAAGATTTAATCAAAACGACCCGTATAAAAAAGACCATTGCTAGTTAAGTATGATGAATTTACCCCAGACTAAATTATCAGGGCTGATAAGAAGATTAAGATGGACTGCATAACAGTGAATTTAACGTTTTCTAAAATTTTTTTTAATAGTTTTTCATTGTTCGTTATAGGTACATATATAATTATTTTGGTAGTTAAATGTAGCTATTTTTGGCACATTTGTTAATTTTTTGGATTTTCCCATTGTTATTTGACTTACAACTTATTTCGTATTGAACGAATGAAGGTAGGTACCGCTCAAATTCTGAATTATGCTTTTTAGATGTATACGGATTTATATGTCTAAAGAATAATTTGACTATTAATTGTTATTTTTAATTAATAACTTGTCCCTGTGATAAGAAATGAATTTCGAATTGCAAAGGTTTTCATTGTAAGTGTAATTATTATAGTATTTTTCACACTACTTCTAGTGTTGAAAGGTTAACGAAGTGTTTAAAAAAGCTTACAATTACTATTTTAAGCCTTTTTAAATTAAACCTTATAAAATATTTTTAGGGAAAAAAATAGACTAACAAAACCAATGGAAAATAAATTTTGTTCTTGTAACATAATGAAGTTTTCATTTATTAGTATGCTTAATTTGCCCTTAATTAAGATGCAAGGCAGGTATCTATTGATAGCTATCATACCATGAATAATGGTTTTTATGTAAGAAAATCCGGCTTGCGAAAGGATTGACCAAAAAAGAAGAGTACAGAAATTATATCTATTTAAACGTAATATTTTTAAATAGCTGAGCTTTTTTAATAATTATAATAACAAATTGTGAAGTTTATTTTATTCTTTGTAATTGGAAAGAAATTTTGAGAGAATATTAATTTAGATTTAATTAAATATTTGCACAAATAATATATTTAAAGAAAGGAGTATGAAGTATTACAACTGTCTGCAGATCACAGGTTGTTTAAAAATGTTTATAACTGCAATAAAATATCGTGCTCGAATTATTTTGAGTTTTAATTATATCATAAACTTAAAAGAACGACTTTAGTCCAAATAATATTTACTACAAAGATGACCCTCTCTCTATTTCATATGAGCACTAGCCTAATGGCACAGTACCTTTCGAGGACATAAAGTACCAGTTCATTCACCTCCCTATTTATGATATATCTTAGAAAC